CTGCAGAAATATAAAAATGTACGTGAATATGTGTTCACGATTAATTTTAATTCAATTTTAGAACTTTTGGTGATGTGCAGAGACTTTAAAAAAAATTGCGTCCTTTAAAAAGAAATTATTGCTCGAAATGAATCCGGTGACACCCGAGTTGTTTACCGGATGGCAGATTTAGATAGTCCTCTCTCACCTGGCCGTGCTTGTCCATGTCGTTGTTCGTCAGCTTCACTTTCTCGAAGGAGACAACCTGCTTCCGCAATTGTTCGCCGGTGAAGGGTGAATCGGGATGCACGTAAAGTCGCGCGGGTGCCGGCGGATCCGCTTTGCCGGCCTCCAGCCAGCAGCTACGGTGATAGGCGTATCGGTACCTCTTGTTGTCGACCGGCACGATGTCCATCAATACTGCGTAACGGCCCTCGGACTTGAGCCCGGTGAAGGATACCCGGCACGTCGGGAACATTCGTCTGCGGAAAGAACGCACGTACAGAAACGGTGTAATAACGAGCGTAATGATAATCGCAATAAATTAATTCGATCTGAATAATTAAGGGGGGAAGAGCTTATTAAGATAAACGAATTATATTTTACGAGAGAATCTTATAACTTTCTTAATTAGCCTTAATTACAATTTAATTTGCTCGCGCAAACCGATGTTGAATCGTTTCAAAACAAGATGAAAAAAAAACTTAATTTAAACTTGGGTATAAAAAAATTATATAGCTACATAATTATATTTGTGAAAACACACGTGCATGGCATACATATAATAGCAGTAAGTTCTAAGCTGCAAAGCGTCAAACAAAAACGAGTCTCGATCCTTATCGTGACAGATTGGTATCTGGCGTATGTAACCTAGCAAAAAATGACGTAGCAAAATCAAGGTAAAACCTTTGCACTTCGTGACCGCTTTCACGATCGTTGCAGTCTCGCAACGGTAGAAGTTATTAATTATAGAACAGTGCCGGCAACAAGTTTTCCTCAGCGGCGTAAACGTTTCGCCGCGCGCGCGTGCAGTATATAAACCTTTCCGCTTAACAGTTTCAAACTGCCTTTCTAAGTTTCGTATAGCCTCGTTCCCTTTGCCCTAAGCATCACGGTTTTCCCTAAGAGATTCCCATTCGTTCTGTTCGTATTTGCCATCATTATCATGTTTCTTTGTGTACACTTTCTTTTTTGTCGCAGTACCTCTATGTTTCACTCAGTCGTGTCGAATTTACGGTCAACTGCAGGTAGTAGCAAAGGAAACGGTCCGCCCTCGATATATACCTCGGGCCCTAACGTCACAAAAGCCGAGCCTCCCGCAGCCTTGAATCGGTCGTCGCGTCGACCTTTCAACACCTCGGGGGACGTCGTCGCGTCGGGGCGCACGCGCCTCCGTCGACGATGCGAAGGTGCGACTGCAGAAGATTTCCCGCTGGCCTACAGCAGGGAAAAACCGTAGCCTGACCTCCCCTGCCTTCTCCCCTCCGCTCCGCCCGGGGTTCCCGACCGAGAGCTTTCATCCGGCCCCACAATGTACGTCCTCGTCGCGACCGCACGCAATGGGCTCTCGCGTCTCACTGTGATTTACACGCCTCGCGGAGGAACGCCGGGGCATTTTTCTGCGATCAGATGATGAGATACGTCAATAGCGATTTTTTTTCACAGTGAAAAACTGGCTTTCGCAGGCACAGTTTATCGCTGAAAGTGCTCGCGCGAGCCGGGCCGGGCGTGAGGGATAGTGAAATACGTTCATTCCGAAACGCAACCGCGCCATTTCGCCTCGTAATATTTATTACATAATTGCAAACTATGTGAAACTTGATACGATGAATACTTTCGGTGCAATATAAAATCCTTCATTATTTTATTCGAGAAAGTAATTACGTACGTCTAATTCTTGATAACTTCGCAACGCGCACTGTTAAATCTAAAATGTCAGATTTAACCCTATATTGGAGTCGCCCATTGCTCCTACTTAATATATGTCTTAGTCATTTTTAAATAAAACAATGGAATTTAACCCAAAATTGGGTTTTAAATTTGAACCGTTTTAAATTATTAAGGCGCTCCCATTGAAAGCGCTCTCGAATTTAGTTGTGTATTATTCACGTATGTGGTCTAGTTCTCAAATTATATGATCGTTGTTTAAATTATTTAACTCCATTGTTTTAGTTAAAAATAACTGTATATTAAATAGGAGCACAGTGGCGACTCAAATAGGGTTAAATTTGACACTTATACATTTAACAGCGCGAGCGTGCGCTAGTAGCTCTGATCTAATTATTCCTGGCGCCAGACGCAAGCTCGATCGAACCAACGGGAAAGATTGAGGATGATGGATCCGCCTCGACATACCTGTCGAGGCCGGCCGATCGTGTGCCCAGGACCGTGCAATCCACTAAAGGCTCATCATCACCATCATCACGGTCGTCATCATCATCGTGAGAAGGCCGATGTGACTGAAATCGTCGCGCCAGGAAGAGACATACACTTGCTGGATGAGTATTCGCAAATAACGCTACTGAGATCTCTGAGGACAGAGGCTTCCGTCACGTCCGTGACCGCGGAGGACGCCACGTCGATCTCCAGAACGACGTCCTCCGCCCGGATCGCACTGATCCGAATCCCGAAAACTCCTCCTCCTCGGGACAAAAAGGCCGACGTCGCCGCGATCATACAGCAAATTCTGCCACCGGAAAAACTGCATGAGGTGTTGAAGAAGACCGGAGAACCGAGCACGTCGAAGCCGCGGACCGAGAGGGCGAAGAAGGAGAAGTTGGCGTTCCCGGGGAAAATCGAATCGGCGCGGATTCCGACAGTCGGCCCGGGGAAAACCCCTGCAGCTGCAGCGAGCTCGGCACCGCCGAGGGATTCGAACGACGTGACGGCGTGCGCGTTTATGACGAGACTGCAGTACGGGCTGACGAGGGCGTCGCCTGTCCTCCTGTGCCTGACGATCCTGATGATCTACGCGGGAATTCACGTGCTATTGGCCGTGATCGCATGGCAAACACCTGCGCACCAATTCTTCGTGTCCAGTCAGATCTGCGGGCTCTTCGCGTTTCTCATGTGGCAACTGACCGGCACGATATTAATCTGAGCGACGAAGCGCGCGAATAGATAATGCGGCCGAGATAATGACGCTGCCAGAAACATAAACGCCGAAATTGATCGACGTGTCTTATACTAATTTATCATAATTACATATACATGATGTAAAACAGTTACCGCGCGGAGGCGCTTCCGCTTGGAAGGATTCGAGGATTAATTAATTGATGATCGGTGCTAAATTGATGCGAGTCCTACACTGCACACGGTCTGGGAAATGTGAGACGGTGAATATCGAAAATTCCCACGCGGGGCAAGATTATATATCTGGATATCAAGAATACCAAAGGTCCGCGAGGATTAATTCGCCAATATGTCTTAATTATATTGAGAACGTTGTGATTAATGGCGCTACTGAAATAACCGTCATTTTTCATAATTCGTTTTGCAGCTCGCCGTGATATCTGTGACTGGCAAGACATCCGGTGATATTGGAATGTATAAAAATGTATAAAAAATATGTTCTCAGACGTACATGCGTACAACGAGTTCAAGCATCTCTCACTGTCATTAATTTTAGCTTTCCGTAGCATCGCATCGTAAAATCTGCAATCGTATGTTATCGATCATTTTCAACGAAATATTCGTTATTTTCATGCGGAAGAGCTTAAAGGCTGCACGTACTATTGTTCGCCGAACACCAAACGCTCTGCCACCTCCTCCGACGAGGGAGACCGCAGGCGTAATCGTCGCGGTTTTCTAGATCTATTTATGCGATGACAGGCGTCCTTCTCAAAGGAGAACCTTTTCGCACAGCGAAGAGGAGGGGGGGGGGGCAGGAAGGGTCCGGGGCCGCAGGACTCGTTCGAACGACGGTGTTGGACGAAAACGAGATTGGGATCCTTAAGCGAGCGCGGATAAGAGAGGCCCGCCGGTTACGTCACGCGAGTGTGCCCCCCGAGTCTATTCGTGGGGCCCCCGATACCCCGGGGAACGGTGGAGTTCCCCGCGACGCGAACCTCGCCGCCTCGGGAAGCGGTTTTGCGGTTTTCGCCGGGCTCCTCCGAAAACGATCCCTCCTCCCTTTTCCGTGCGGCACGTACGCGTTCGGTTAGGTTCGTGCGGTTTTTTAACAAGCGCATTGTCCAACCGCGCTTGAATAATATCGTCGTTACGTCGCCCGGGGTGCCGGCCGTGCACCTTAACGACACGATTGTCGGCCCTTAGGCGAGAAATTAGCCATGCGGTGTGCATACGAAATGCGCGCGCGCACACACATCTCCGCGAGCTCTTTATTCGCGGAGTCTGCGCCACGTCTCACGACGTTTTGTAATTCGACCCCGCGAGATCTATATAGATTCGCCTCTCGATTTCACGACGACGACGACGACGTGATATTCGATACGTAGAACACGAAATTACCCGCGATTGACTGACGACGTCGTCGTGAAGCTCGACTGCTATGTATATGGAACGTTATAAGGAAACTGCATAGCCTGAGTGACGAAGAGTCCATTTTAGGGACACAATAAGAGGAAGATTTAAACATTTTTCAATTCAACACGACGCCAATAATAGAGTCTAGTCAGCAATTATATAGAGGTGGCCTAGATTGGCTAGATTCCCATTAAATTTATAGAAGGTAACTAATTTTTAATACGCAACTGCGGGCTTAATTTCCGTATATACACACACGAGATTTGTTTTGTTGTTTACTCAAGGCAGGTGCTATAAGTATGCGCCTCGCACGGTATCACGAGGGGCCTTCGTACAATTTTGCATATATTACGAAATGAGCAGCGGCCATCTGTGGCGGCCGTGTACGCACGACCGCCGTATAAATGTGGGTATTAATCCCGTGCCCGTCGAAAAACATCGCGGTCGCGCGCACTATCGTAATTACCCCGAGTTGACACTCTATAAAATCATCAGGGTCGTTTACACCTCCTTCAGCCCCTGCAGCCATGTGTATAAGAGACAGCCTCGGGGCTGCAGCTGCAGGCTAACTCGCTTATCGCCCGAAGTCGGCCTTGACGTCGAACGACGTTTCCCTCCACCGAGGTGTGCTCGGTGCTCGACTTTCACCTGCTGCACGCGCGCTCGCGCGCGCGTTAGGCTAAGAATAAATTTCGCAATCATGCGTATACGTATACATGCAACACCGCCCATTCTCACCGCGGTGTCTTTGTTTGTTTCACGCGTTTCCGTAAACCTTAGCGATAAATCGTCCGGAAAATTGCCACGGAGGAGGGAGGGGGGAAAGAGGGGGACGACCACCCTGTCGGATAAGCGCGCCGATTATTTAAGCATCGACGGGCGAAACCGATCGACGATCTCCCTCGAGAGAGAGATGCGCCACTCCTGGTTGATCCATATCGCGCATTACGCTTGTACTCCCATGAATCCCCGTGCTTAGTGACTCATGTTTTTACGAGGATCGCGCGCGGCGAACGAGTCAATTCGTGCGGCGCGTGTCACTTTCGGATGCGGAGCGCATATCGGCTCCTATATCGAAATTTGCCGCGACCGTGTCGGGACCAACCCCGTGGCGGCAGCCCCCGTTTCGCTTTACGTCCCCGAAACGACGGCTCCGTAAAACTGAACGCTCGACGAGAGAATTTCTGCTCGGAAATAATATTTAAAAAACATCGTGAGCGAGAGAGAGAGAGAGAGAGGATGTGACACTAAAAATTAAATATCTCGTGATACAAAATTTATTTAACATTGTCTCGCGTATGTAAGATTGAGAAATGTTATGCGTCCTCGATATTCATTCGTTTTAAAATTAATTCAACTTCGCTCTCCAACTTCCATTAACTTCCATATATATTAAACAGCTCTGTAATTGACGCGCGACGTGCAGCCCATCTTGGTAAATGCGCGTTCGTTCCTCTGCATTAATTTTTTCGGCAATCAATTACGTCACCGGTCGCGCGGCCTCCGGGATATTAAGATCGGGTAATAATAGCGGCAATTAAAACGAAACCTTCTCGCTCGCCACATGGCCCTCCCTTTATTGCTCCTCTCGAGAGAGAAATTATCGCTGCTCAAGCCGATATCCAACGTGTTTTTCCACCGCGTCACTTTTTTTTCACGATCGCGATAACAGACGTCGTCCTAATTTCACCTGCGGGTATAATTTATTTTTTTGATTCCAACGGATCGCCTCGTCCATCGTCTAATTCGTGTGGGCCTCGCGCGCGTCCGACATTACGGCGCATTTCCCCGGGTTCAAATTAGGCGAGGACAAACAAGCGCCTCGATGGCCCGTGGCTAACGAGGCCGTAATCGCAGAAACACCTCGACCCCGAGTCACCCCGAATCCCCTTGAACCACTCGTATATATCTTTCCCCGCGTAGCGAGGGAGGGGACGGTGAGAGGGCCACCGACACTGCACCCCCCTCGAGGAGAGAGGCCCCCTCCCTCCGTCCGTCGTGTCGGTGGAGTTAGTACAAATGGATTACGGAAGCGCGCGCTGGATATTATACCGATTCGACCGGAGTCCGAGTCAAACCTAAAGTGTGTTTACCAAGCTAACGACTCCGCATACGCCAGCCACGCCAGGTGGGATCGCCACCTATTGTAATTATTATACCGCTGCTGTCGCGCGTTTCACGTCCTGATGATCGTGACACCGCCCGGCAGGATATCCCTGTCCCTATACACGAAAAAAATAAAAATAAAAAAGAGAGAAATAACGAAGAGAAAGCGACTGCGCGATACTCGCGTCCAGACGAGATATTATACGCTGCAGTTTGGACTGTCCGGTATATAAAAGTTCGAAACGTGTTCTTCGCCGGTCGAAAATAAAAGAAATAGAATTAATCAAATATATTAATATGAAGAAGCCTGAAAGGGATATTAATCGAGGTATTCTATACGTCCTACGGACTCGTTCGCAAAATTAATCGCGTGAGACGATCTTTAACTTGTTCTCGAATACATCGGTTTCTTAAAATACATAAATATTTTGTTTCACACATATATCTTATATATTTTCGATATATAAGATTGACGCTTTATAGTAACAATAATAAATCCGCAAGGATTCCGCATTTATTAAATTTGGCGGGCTACACATCGAACACGCGAGCGTGTTCTTGATCGCGCTTACAGTATAATGTAACGCCGCTTTGATATATTCGATGCGAGACGCAGTATCCATCCTTAATCCAGCCGCGAGTTCTCCGAGGAGGCGAGGATATTATCTCTCTCGTATTTGTTACGTGCATTAGTGTGTTTAGTCCACTCCGGAGGCCTTCTAAGGCTGTTACCCCGCGTATTTATTATGTGCACTTCGTGTAACCGCGCGAAAACGGGGTCTAAAATGAAGAGATGTCTATCTACCCCCTCTCTCGTTCGCTCTTTCTCTGTCTTCCCTCCACCCTCCCCCTCCCCCTTCCTCCACCTCCCTATCTCCTCTTCGACTTCTCTATCTTTTACGCTCCCTCTCTCTTTTCCTCCTTCTCTCGGAACATGCTGTTCTCTGTGCATGTTCTCCGCGGTGTAACGTGCACACGATCGTCCCGAGCCGGGTCGCGTGTGAGTGTATAATGTAGGTTGCTGGCACCTTGATGAAGGGTTCGCGTGACGAGTACCCTCTATCCGCCGGTATCCTGTCTCTCTCCTGACCTGCTCGTCCGCACCTCCTATTCCGTGCGGTTCACAGTCCACGGTTACCCACTTAAACGTTGAAAAAAACGCACAGCCGCGGCGGCGACGACGACGACGACGACGACGACGAGCGATAGCGTTCTCCAACGCGGAGCGACCATTTCGCTTTCCGCCGCGTACACGAGGAAAAAAAAAGGCAGTTTAACGGATCACCACTCTGTCATCGATAAATTATAATGCTCGTTCGACGAGTGCCGAGGTAAACGCCTAATTAGAAGGAACATTTGTTTCTTTCGACGAAACTGAAGAAAAAAGAAATGAAATTTGACATTCGAGGAAACAAAATATATGTCGCTTTTATGGTTTCACGATACGATTTTAACAACCCACTGTTCCTGTTTGACGATACTCGATGAAAAATGTTCCACTGGCGATTCTATCTCTCGCAACCTTCCTCTTTTCCCTTGTAAATTACAGATCAGTTGTTTGTACATTATTTTCCTTGAAAAGAAAAAACGATTCGCCGATTCTTCCTTTCAAAGAGAATATAACGTCGGAAGAAGATCTGTTCCTATTTTTACGGCAACCTTTGTTGACAATGTTTACCGTTTTAGTCGAATTTGTAGTACATGTGTCCACCGTTTCTAAAAACAGCTAAACTATGTAACAGTGAATGCGAAGGAAGCGATAAATAAGGAGGAGAGAGGAGAGGGATGGACGTCGAAAACGTGGCGAGTGCGAACGTGGGAAAGGAGAGGAACCCCGGGACGCCCGGAGGAGAAACCAAAGGAGTTTACGGGCCTGGCACCCCGTAGGGCCAGACAATTCCACCTGATTGGTAGAATCCGAATTCGTATTGTCACTCGTCGGACTTGACGTTCAGCTCGCCTCAGCTGGGATTTCGTGCCGAGTCGCCTCGTGCTAACGACGCTATTCGTGCATCGCCGCGTTCCTTGATATATCGATCGTCGTCGTCGTCGTCGTCGTCGCCCCGGCCCGAGGACACGGCGAGAACAGCGACACGCCCTGGGATTACTACGAATTTTTTAAACTCGGAGCTCGGTAGCTCATTGTGCCCGCAGGAACCCCTGGAAATCCCGTCTCCCATATACCGATGTACATTATAATGCCTCGAGGATCGTCTAAATCCGTATATAAGCAGCTAATTCTTTTTCACTTCGGAAATCGACAAAGGCCGGGGATAAAGCGACGTTCGTCGCCACGAGCTTGTATATATAATTTGTCTTTCCTCCGTCCTTCGATTCCACAACCTTCTGACTTACTGAACTGACGTGTTAAAAACTTTATTTGCCAAATATGCGTGTCGGACGAGACGGAAACCTTTTCTCTCGCATACACGGTTTACACACTCGTGCGTAATTTCACGGTTTAGACCGTGCAACATTGTGAACGAAACCTCTAAACTCCACCGACTTTCCACTTGCCGACGACGATAACACAGGCGGGAGCGGCGGCGCGGTTCCCCGCGCGACGACGTCTCAAGGTTGCACGGATTGGCGGCGGGGTTTATATATTCTCAGGCGATCATCGCTCCTCCACGCCCGGGGCGCTCTCGCGGCGTTTCGCAATTACGCGCCGTCCGTCTTATCCGAAATCATCCGCGTGCGTATACGCGCGCGCGCGGCTTATCCAATTATCATCTCGCTTTCCGCGCGCCTGGCGTAAACACACACGCGCTTCGCGGAACCACGCCGCGCCGCGCCGATCGCGTTCCGAAGTTTCTTGCGCCTGGAAGGTGGCCCCTCGTCCCCGACACCTTACGCCCGACGATAATTACCCGGCGGCTTCCCCGAGGGCCGCTAAGTATTTCGTAATTAGAGGCCTGCCGGCTTATCCGAAATCGCACTCTCGATTACAAGCTCACGCGGCTTATCGATTATCATCTCTATACCTCCTGCATGGCGCGCGCGCGCGAAGCCGCTTACTTTTACCTTCTATATACCCATCGTATATAATAAACCCTTCCCCGATTTCCACTGTTTCTCGCGCGCGGCTGTATCTCGTGTACCCGCGCGAACACCAAAGTAGCAAGAGAAGCACGTATACCTACGTCACGTCAATCAGTCGTGACTCGAGGATCATTCGAGGGTCACTCGTTACTTCGCAATGACGCTGAAGATCCGGGAAATTTGCCCCAACGCGCACCGTGAATAATATATCCGCGATACGCGATACCCGCGCGGAGTGTATATATATACACTTCGCCGCAACCGATCCCGCTGCGAGCTGGCGAGCGTCGCGATCGGAGGAGATCGCGATGACGAAGTCAAACGAGTGACGGCGCGCAATTTATCTAACACGTTTCGCTTTCTCCTCTCGATAACGTATAGTAGGTAATAGGTGCCGCGCGGCGTCACGTGTGTCGCACATTGTTGCGCACACTGGAGGAGGAATCGTAGGCGTTAATATGGCGGAGTCGCGGGGCTTTATCGCGGGGGCACATCTAATATCCGAGAGCCGCGCACCGCTCTGAACAAACACGTATGTGTGTGTGTGTACGTGTAGCGTACGTCCTGACGTTGATCACCTCGGTAACACTTCAAGGTTACGCTTGAAACAGCTACATTTCTACCGACAAACAGCCCGCGGTACCACCACGCGGGGCGCCGTGGAGGAGGGGGGGAGGGGAAGAAGGTAAGAAAGTACACATTCATAGAAAGAAATTAACTCGTATAAAATGCCTTTGGAGCGCGGAGCGGTGGATTTATCTGAAGGCGGCGATCTGAAGTGCGCCTGGTCGCTCGAGGCCGCGGTCGGAGGCTTCCAGGCTTCCGATCTCCGTAATTTGTTGCTTGACGAGCGATTTAAATGAACGTGCAGGATGGAAGGGCGAAAAACGGATTGGATGGGGCTTATCAATGGAGCGCCTTCCTCTCACGAAATACGTGGAATATTTCGAGAGAGACGCGGATCTCTCCAAGATGCTGGGCGACGTGTGTAGGCTCCGCACGTAGGTATAAGGCTCGATCGGATGCGCGCACCTGTTTGCGCAAGTTTCCTCGAAGCGCGCGCCTCGTCGTAATTGCGTACGGCGCGGCTTAACCGCAATCACATTCACAGTTATATGCCGCGTGGCTTATCGGATTATCGTCTACTTTCTGCACCGCATAAATATATCACGGCGCCGCTGGTATTATACGTCGCGTTACGCGAAGCAAAACGCCGGCTGCGTAAAATAAAACGCCGGTGTCCAACGGAGCGAATGATTAATACGCGTTTAATTGTAATTAAGGTGCGCGGCCTAAGTGAATTAAACGGGATGCTCCGCGCAAAAATCGAGTTACAGAAAGATCGCGATTGCCGCAGAAATTTTATTGGCGGTCTCCGTAAATCCAGGTGATTTTTTTTTTTAAGAATAGATGGCGTATTAACTGTCATTATTCGAAGAGAGTATTGGAATCGAATATTGGCGAAGATTACCAGAAATAAAACAGTTGCAAGTAAAAGAGCATTGAATAATTAATTACTGCAGCAGCGAATATTAATATAATATTTCAAGCTATATGCCCTTAAATTAATAAAACCTCTTAATAAATGTTGTCTTACAAACGACTGTTGTACAAACATTCGAAATGTTCTTCCATCGTGACTAAGAATACGTTTTCTGGCGCTTATTAATAATAATAATAATAATTGAAGCGTATATGAATCACAAGCATCTCGATGCTGATGAAAGCTACAGATCGATCAACTTGACCTACGCGACCTCAGTTAGACGGAGACGCTTCGCAAAAATCGAGCAACAGAATTTAAGATTGCGAACGGCTTAGAAATTTTATCGGCAGCATCGGTGAGATCCAAGTAGAATTACGGGTAGCAGGTCAACTGTCATTATTGGAAGAGGGTAGATAGAAATCGAATATCGGCGCGGCACCAGAAATAATATTAGGAGTCGCAACGAGAAGAGAGTATTAAACATTAATTCCCGCACAAGCGATTATTAGATATAAATTTAATATCTCAAGCTACATGAACTTCTAAATTAACGAACGGTACTCTCCTGCAAACATTCGAAACGTTTTTCTTTTTATCCTCGTGACCGAGGGTACGTTTTTCTGGCGTTTATTAATAATAATAATCGAAGCACCTCGACGTCTCGGTGAGCGAACGAGCGAAAGAGAGAGAGAGAGAGAGAGCGGTATTTCGCAATTAGCCCTGAGAAGCTTATCTCGATCGCAGCATCTCCGGGGAGTTTCTAAAGGAGCGGAGTCCCCGGCGCGCGCGTACCGCGGGTCCCCCGATCGCGATCGCGAACTTCGGGCGATAATGCGACGCATCGATCATCGCGGTAGCGCCTCGAGCGCTTGGCTATATACACACGCACGCACACGCATCGGCCGTCGTTAGGACGGCCCGACGACGGTTAGCAGCTCTCTTTCTCTCGACTAACCCCGAGCGCGCGCTTGCTCGCACCCGTGCGCACGAATATCTCATAATTCCGACGTGGTCACGCATCCCGGCCGCAGCTGCGGCCACGCCGCCGCGCCGCCGGCCCCGAACTTTATTAGCATACCTATAAAAATGCGCGCGTCCGCGCGTAAACGGGCGCGATAAATTACGTCGGAAACTCCCTTAAATATCTCGTAAAACGTCAGTCAATGAAATCCATTAGTTCCAGGTACGCCGACGTAGCCCCTGGTCGCTGCCCCGCGCGCGCTATACGCTACCGACAACGTCTCGCTCGCCGTCCGTCCGCAGGGGGTTCTTTGCCCGCCCTGCCCGTTCTTTTCTCGCTGTTTGCTCGCGAATTAAAGGCGCTCGTTTCGGCGTCGCGGTCTTTAAATACGGCCGATTAACGGGCGCGTGAATATGAGCCGCGTTACGATATCGTAAAGATAATCGCCGGCGCGCGGACGGCGAAGTTGAAAGAGCGAGACCCGGGGGAAGACCTCTCTCTTTTCCTTCTGTCCCGCGTTAAAAGTGCACGATCTCTCGTGTCTCCCCGCGAGCCTCCTGCAGCCTCTTATTGAGACTGGTCCCATTAATTTACAAAAAAAATATATTATTTAAATACGTATTTATTTTAAGATATATATTGCTGCACATGTCTCAAAATAATCGATAAACCTTCGTACTGCAGAAATTAAAAAGGGGAATTTCTTGTCAAGTGAATAAATTACACGTTCGATCAACGTCTCAATATTCGATCAATCTCAATATTCTTATATGAAATTCGCTACGATTTCCAAAGTTTACGTGAAACGTCAAGTGCTCAGATTGTTGATCCTATTCTGATGAAAGTTAAAAAGTAGACGGAAAAACGAAAACTTTGTGAGGGACATCCCTGCTGCCTTTAAAGATTCGTCGTCCTGCAAACGACTCGCTCGAATTCGCCCTGCGTTACGTGTGGCGTGCCTGATCGCATCGAGTTCCTCGAAAACGCATCGCGGGCACCTTCCGCTCCGATCACGACTCTCGCATCTCTCCCGATCGACACACGCGTCACTTACCGGCCGGTCTTCGTGATGATCATCTCCGTGCCGAGGTCGTTGAACTTGTCCCAGAGATCCTTGGTCTCGAGGTGGCACTCGACGTCACGCAGCTCGTCGGAGTTGCAGCTGGTCCTCAGACGTTGTTGCTTCTTCTCGTCCCCGTTGCAGCCGCCGCCGCCGCCACCGCCGCCGCCGCCGCCACCGTCCGCGCCGCGTTTCCGCGAGGGCGTGCCGGCGCGATCGTCGGCTAGCATCCCGTGAACCGGGCCATCGTCGACGCTGCTGCACTCCTCCACGTCGACGTCCACCTCCTCGTCCTCCTCGTTCGCGGACTTCTCGGTGCTCTCGCTCTCGCCCTCGCAGTTCTCGGCCTCTTCGTCGCCGAGGAGCGCCTCCTCCGTCACCACTGTCGCCGTCGCCACAATGTTCACCGGCGACGCTTGAACACCTGCTATATGAAAAGTCCTCTGTTTACTGCATTTGAACGTATCATCAATGCGCACACGGAAAGAACAATTTTGCTGGATCCAGATCAGAAAATAATTTTCATTTAATAATTAAAATAATTTTGTTAGAAAGTCAAAATGGTTGCTAGAATATCAAAACGTTTTATAGCAAAGTCTATCATTTTTAACTTTCCAACAAATTATTTTGATTATTGAACAAAAATTATTTTCAGATCTGTATTCAGCAAAATTTTTAGACCTTTCAACAAAATCGTTCTTTTCGTGCAGCTTGTAATAAAAAAAAATACTTTGCATTGATTTGCGAGACACTTATTTTGTAGAGGAGAATTTTAAATATAATGGTCAGTAGAATAAATTAAATTCGCGCACTTTTATAAAAGTCTGCTTTAATATACTTTAATTACACGTGTGTATTAGTCAATATATAGTCAGTGTCCGCGTGTCGACTGCGCGCTCCTTGCATCGGCCTCTGATTTTCCTCTACTCTCTCCTTTCATCTCATAATATTTTCTTCGAAAGGACATTATATGAGTTCAAAATAACTGCCTATTGTTGATCGCGCGTTGACTATAATTATATGTTAACTAATTCTCGCTCGGCTACTTATACCGACGAAAGTATTAGTTATATGACAGCAGAGGTAGATGCAGTAGCGAGAGAAGGATTCTCCATCCACGAGCTCGACTTACGAGAAGCCTATACAAGAACGGAAGGAATATTGATATTCTATTGTATTCGTGCTAACCGATCCGCACGAGCGATGTGTAACTTGTTGTACATACGTGTGCGCATTGTATCGACGTGCGAGTGTGTGCGTTCAAAATAAACATATGTCGAACACATTTTGCCTGACATGAGCGTAGCGTGGCTATTGTAATCGCCACGTTACTATTAGCATTGATTTATTAGTAATTTATACTACTTATTCAAATTGTCGAAATCTAATTCGCAAATAGTTTTAATTTCTGTCCTAATTGTAACATTGATAAATAAGTCGTCTGTCTCTGATTGAAACTTTCAACGGACGCGATGTCAACGAGATTGTATAATAGCCGTCGAATCGGGAATCGAGATTTATCGCGAAATAAAACGGCGTCAACGACCGTCGCGTAAGACGACACGGAAACGAAATCCTCTCCCCCCCCCCCCGCTCTCTACCCCTCCTCCCCCGAAAGGCAAGCCTCGCGATTATCGCGAACCGCGTCGATTTAAATGAGCGAGATGAGCCCGGACGATATCGGGTGGGGCCCGCCGCCTGTTTAATTAATCGGTCGGGGCCCCGCATCTGCGCCACAAGGTGTGGTGGCCGGCGCCTAATTAAACCGTCAGATTTTCAAGAAAGCCGATCCCCGTGCCGGTGTGTACACAATGTTAATTGCGCCGGGGCCCCGGCGATATCGATCTGTTAATTTGTACTATTCCGTGCGAACAATGCGTCTTCCGGACGCGCGTTTTATCTCAAATTGGATCCGGGCCGCGTTCCGTGCGTTCGCGAAGTGCGTTCACGCACGTGCGGTATCGTGACGCGCGGAGAGGGGGGAGGAGGAGGGGCGAGGGGGGAGGGAAATTTATCGACGCGGTTCGCTGTCGTCGTCGACGAGAAAACGGACCGCCGTGATCGCCGCCGCCGCGGCGACTTGTCTTCCGCCGCCGCCGCCGCCGCCGCCGCCGCCGCAAACTGCCTGTTCGCGCACGGAAAAGGCTGTTATACGGCCCCGGTATTCTTATTTCCATTTAGCGCCGCGCGTCCACCGCAAGATACGGCTGTCCGATACGGGAAATTTATTCGCTTGATGTGAAAATCGCGTATCGACCGGAGGGTTGAGGAGGATCTGACAGCCGTATTTACCGTGCTGAACGCGAGCGAATCCGCGCCTCTACTCGCCTGATGCTATCAAGATAGCATTCAATGTTCGAAGCAAGACGCAATAAATATTTCTGAAATATTTTCAAAGAACGGGGAAGAGGGGAAGGGGGGGGGGAGAGGGAGTATAATTATCCGCGATACAGGTATACCCGTCATATTTATCGTTTATGAAGATGGTTCCCCGATAAAAACGAGCGAAACGGCCGAGTCTCTTTCGTTTCCGGGGAGAGCGACTCTTTGCGCCCGCTAACGACTTAATGAGTCACCGGGCGCGCGCTTCTTCCCGCTTCTTTCCCCGCTGAGAAGCGGGAAACGGCGCGAGGCGAGTATCTGCTTTTCGTAACGCGGGTAATCGAACGGCTTCTGCGGCGCATGCCGGGGAATAAGGTGTTCCACCTCGCGCGCGGCTCGGCCGAGTCCAGTTAAACGACGGCGATGATCGCCCGTCGATCGCAGACGCTAATTCGACGTGTCGCTTCCCGTTTTCTTTCGGGCTCCTGGTCACATCGCCGCCGCGCCGCGCCGATTTCATCGCTTCTCTCCTCGTCGCGCTTCTCTCGAATGCGCTCAAAACCGGTTCCGCTGAATTTTCGATGATAATGGCGACGACGACGACGACGACGACGACGAGGACGACGATGGTGACGACGGCGATTTACTTTCGCCGTTTCGTACGTCGTGCTGGGCGCAAACCTAACAATTTGTGTTCCGTTTACGCGAAACGAGTCGCTTTCTTACGGGAGTTTATCGCCGATTTCTTGATCGCCTCGAGAACGTTCTTTCCTTCCTACTTGAAATTCGTATAGAAAGTCATATATTTGACAGAGAGCTTTACATTATATTAATTCCGAAATATGGGAATTGTTTGAATTTCGCGATTTGCAAAACAATTTCTGACAGCCAGACAAACAAAATTATGACAGTTTTAAAGAGAAAGGGAAATTCATTTAAAAATATTCAATTTTCAAAGAACTTTTAATATTTCAAGACATCGGAGTTTCCGTTAAAAATTAATTATATTTTTTCAAAAAGATAAAAAGAAAAAATAAATTGACAGATTTACACATTACAATAAAAATTACTTGAAAATATAGTGCTACAAATTTAAGAAAAAATTATCAGTTGTTTTTACTGCTTTGATAATTTTAGCATTAAATGTCTTTATATGTGAATTAATATGCTTTTATATGCCTTTATATATGTTTTTTTTAGAAGAAACAATTAAAAAGCAAATAAACAAAATACTAAATTAGCGCGGTGTGTATAAATATTTGTAGACTGTGGTAGTATCGAAAGCGCGAATTTCACGAAATTCGAACGCGAGAGCGATGCAAGCTGTGGTAGCGCCAGGAGGCGAAGCGCGCCGTAGTTACGCGCATCGCGTGCGGCTCGCGCGTTGCGTGCGCGCACATCTGCGTGCACGCACGCACGCACGCACGCACGCACGCACTCGCGCATTCACGCACACACGCGGACGGCTAATAATAATGCTCTGCGGAGGCCACGTCCGTGGTTCGCGTCGCGGCACGCGTGTCACGTCGCTCCGCGAGTTACGTGTTAAAGAAACGCGCGAACGAGCGAGAGCAAGCGAGTGAGCGAGCGAACGAACACATACACATGCGCGCATCTACGCGTTCCCTTTCATTTTTTTTATTTTTTTTTTTTCAAGAAATTTCGAAATCGCTCGGCTTCCTCGTTCAGACATCGCCGAGGACTGCCCGAACTTCTCGGGAAGAAGTTAAGGCCTCGCGCGAGAACAGCCGGTGGACGCGCGCTCGATAGAGGGAAAAAAGAGAGCCCGGTGCGTTAAAATTAACACCTCGACACGCGTGTCTCTCTCGCGTGAGCCGCGAACGCGTCGCCGTCGTCGTCCTCGTCGGCCTTCCGCGACGTCACGCACGACGAAATTGCCCGGACGTGCATCTCGCCCCGCCCGTCGCTCGTTAATTTGCGAACAATCGGCTTTCCGGCTGAAAATCTACCTATTCCAGCGAGACGACACGTTTCTCCTCCGTTTTTCCGAGAAAGAGATACATAAACAGATAAGTGGAGATAAACAGATTAGATAGAGGAATAAAGAGTATATATACTGCGTGAAGCGGCAGCGCGCAGCGCGTTATAATACCTGATTAAGAAATTTCCTGAGAAAACGAGGCGTGCGATATTCGAAAAGATTTTTTTAATTTATTAGAGTTATATAAATATTATCCCCCCCAACATCTCTTCACGCACGTTAATGCTTCAGTAATGTGCGCTTTTATAGAATGAAATATGGTGTGAGCTTCCAGGTACAAGAACATTAATTTATACGACACAAATTAATATAGTTTATTCCAATTCAATATATGCAAATTTAGTTTATTCAATTTACTAAGGAAGGTAAAATGAGTATGTCAAAAAGCCAATCTGTAAACTGTTGAACACATACTTTCTCTCTCTCTCTCTCTCTCTCTCTCTCTCTCTCCTTTTTCTCGTACAATTGCAAATATCTCTCGTTGTGTCTGCCCCGCTTTTAACTGTCGACTCTTTTCTAAACTCTGATCTCGTAACCTTTTTTTTTGCTTCGCTACGCATTTTTTGAAGCTAAATAAAAATTATTAGAAACAGGTAAATGTATCAGTATTGGCCTTTGTCCGCCTTTATGTTTGTTAAACGCTTAAAATTTTTACAAATGGCCTCTTTTACAAATGCTTCGTTTTTTTCTGTCGGCTCCTTTAGTTTTGCAACGTTAACATGAAATAACTTCGGACCCCTTCCGGAGTCGCCATGAGACGCACAGCGTGAAAAAAAAACAGGCACGGGTCCGATGGTGAGACTTAAAGTGTGCCATCTCGCAATGGGCACACGCTCGCATAAAGCGACACCACGCAGGGGCAGACCGAGGATGAATGCTCGGCCGGAAGCTTTGCGGGCAAATATACAGAAGGAGTTATAGAGAGAGAAAGAGAGAGAGAGAGAGAGACAGAAAGAGAAGGGAGGGGAGAGGGATAGCATCGAACAATGTGTGTGCGCGCGCGCATGAGAAGGTGGTCCCATGTTCCATGTGATCTTTTAAGACCAGAAGAAATATGACCGAGCTACTGACGTAAGCTTCCTTTTGCCGAGACCGACGGC